AGGGTAACCGATTAGGGACGGACGGAGGAAAAGAGGGAAAGGGCGGCGGGACGAATACGGCAAGCGCCGGTGGAATCGGACACCTTGGGGTGGTGTAATGGTTAGCAAGCTTGTCTCGCTAGAACAATTACGACTGAGTAGTGAGTTCGATCTTCCCATGGGTGCCTCATACTTTCGGCCGTGTGCCACGTCTGAGCTACGATTGGAAAATCACTATATATATATATATATATATATATATATATATATATATATATGTGTGTGTGTGTGTGTGTGTGTATGTGTGTGTTACTGATTTAAAAGTACACCTGATTGACATGCTAGGCTTCCAAACTCTAATAAAAACAACAGCTCTATCAAAAAAGCCTACCAACGATGCTGAGAGGATATTAGTTACATTTTCTAGTAGTGCTACCATAGTCTGGCACTATAAATCTGTTGAATAAGACAAGTACATACAAAAGTACATCGTGAAAGAAACTATCGTTGACACCCGACATTTTTTTTCTATCTAATTTCAGAACAGTCAATCCGTTCTTTGGGTTTTAGAGATTTTGTAAAGGTGCCTCGTTTTTTTCTCTTTCGTATACGAGTTTAGAACGTACATTGAAAAACCTTTAGGCATTTAAAATTTTTGCATTGACCGTAAATTTGTTTTAAAAATTCCGTATGAGTCCGCAGGTTTCTGAATGATATTTTAAATTCCAACTTCAAAAGAAAATGTCCTCCCAAGAAAAACGAACCTATCAGGAATCTTTAAGCTTTTCTTTCAAAAAGAGAATTAGAGAGGGATATTCCTCGTGAGATCTGGTCTGATGCATAGCAACAATCATCTTATTGATGTTCAAGCCGAAAGCTTCTAATGTATATCCAAATGAGATTATTAATTATGGCAGTTCCTCCGAGGTGTGGCTTAACATATATTTGTCTTTTGCATAGAGATCCCAAATCTGTGGATAATATAATTTTCTTTTTCATTGAGACGAGGAAGATTGAAGAGCCAACCAGGATATAAATATAAATTCGACACGATAGTACACTGAAAGCTGCCTGAAGCATTGTAGAGACAATGTCGGAGCATCGTGATTACGTTGGTTTGAAAAGGTAACACATACTACTATTCTCAAAATTACTACGACCGTTTCTGCCTACATGAAATCTGTCTTCTCTTGATCCCACTCATTTTTAATACTTGCCTGAGATCTTGCCTATTGACCCGATCAAATCTTTGTGGAATTAGAAAAAAAAAAGTGACACAAGTCAATGACATGTTAAAACCATTCTCCTGAATCTGACATGCCTTACAACTCACATGATGCGTGATACATATGGTGAGAAAACCATATTACGAATCAGAAATGATGTTTAGATCTGTGTATGTGGCCAGATGGTTAAAATGATTGCGTGCTAGCATCTTCCCAACAAGGGAAAGAAATATCGACAAAGATTCACATGATACAGGTTTATAGGGTTAAACAAACCTTAGATCAATCCAAAACTGCGGAACAGCTTACTGAAACCAGAAACACACCAGAATAATACACGTCAAATAATATTCCACCACCATCTGTTAAAATTTCTGCTTGACTGAATTCACACCTGAAGGTTTTTCTTTTGTTTAGCAGGAATAAATTCCATCCAAGATAATTTTAAATCCATTCCGTGTAAAATAAGATACTGGTTGACATAGTTAACTACATTCATGTTAATGGGGAAAGGATGACAAGAACAGTCGCAATAATGCTCCATACTTGATATATAAATCGATTGAAAGTATTTTTAGTTTACATCACTACCGTATTTTAATATGAGAGCAGCAGTTGCAGTTTGCCGCGGAACAACAATTTCATATCTTCATATCATGAGCATTTAAAACGGTCGCAGTACGTAAGGTCATTCTAAACATGCTATTGCTATCCTTACATAGGAGGGTAAACCGATTCTCTCACCAGGTTGTTCAGGTGCGGAGTTTGGCAAACTCAACGAACAAACCGCTCAAAAAGTGGACGAATCTCTGCCAATGGCTATCTAGAAGAGAAAAACGTGGGAGGAGGTAGAAATACATGGTTTATTATCTCGGCGCACGATAAGCAAACGCCGAATATAGACTCTTCACGCTTGTTATTTTCTCCATGAAGGAGATAGATAATTCAAATTAAATTCATGAGATATTTCAGTGACGCAAAGTTGCAACATTATTTTAACCCCCTCAACAACATTATATATCACGCCAAATTATGTTGTCTATCCAAGTAACTTTGACTAAGTTCGATCAGTCGAGCAAAATAATCACAAATTGGCTATGTGGTTGTTGAGGAAGCAAAAATGTGACTGAGCAGCCCTCTGTAACATGGATAAGGTAGAACTAGCGCTATGAAAATCCATAATCTTCAAACACTGACAGATGTATTATTTATGTAATGGCCGATTATAAGTAGCTACCAGGGTGGTTAGCAGATGCCTAATCCGACATATTTATGTTCAAAATTCACAGAGCCAAGCCGTTGTTTGTAATGCATATGTGCTGAGTGAACGCAGTTTGAAAAAAAAACATTAAATTCAAACGCTCTGTCAAGATGACTTGTAACATCGAGTTAGCATAAACGTCGACGCCTTGCAAGAATTCACTTTACCCAATTTCACTCAGAATATTTGTGTATTTTTAAAGGTTCCCACGCTAGGATCGTCTCTACAGACAGATAACACCAATATGTCACTTTTAGTGACAAATCTACCATGATGAGATTCGAAACTGTGCCCAATGGTTGGAAAAAAATTAATATATATATATATATATATATATATATATATATATATATATATATATATATATATACACCTACGATTAAATGGAGTTTGGTTAAGAAAGCTCGTACATGTAACTCCCTATATACCCCTATGTTACCTATGCCTTAATGAAAATTTGAAATTATTAGATTTAAAAACAAGGCTGATCTCTTAAATCAAAGATATGAACTTACAGTAAATTGTAAAACACCGTTATAAATTTAACTTAATGTAGGGTCGTATACTTTAAATGATAATGATATGTCACTGTATTTTTAATAGATTAGTATTTTTTATTGCATGATGGTCATACTTACGATATAAGTGTGTATTGTTTACCTGCATAGTGTTATTAGTGTTGGTGTAAATGTGTATATATTTATTTATGTGTTGGTTAGAGTATTTGCACTGAGGAATGTGTAGGTTGGTGTATAAATGTATTTATGGTTTTTTTTTGTTTTTTTTATATGTGTGGGTGTATGTGTGGGGTGTGTATGTATGTATATATATGTGAGTGTGTGTATATATATATATATATTATGTGGGAAGGTAAGGTAGATTATAAGAGAAAAGGTTAATAATTGTTGCTGTATATGTGTATGTGTGTGCCTATATGTGTATGTGTGTATAGGTGTGTGTATATGTATGTATTTGTGTGTGTATGTGTGTATATATATATATATATGTGTGTGTGTGTGTATGTGGTTGGATATATATATATATATATATATATATATATATATATATATATATATATATATGTATGTATGTGTGTATATGTATGTATGTGTGTGTATGTGTATATGTATGAGTATGTACATGTATATGTATGATAAAATCACGGCAGTATAATGGTTGGCCTGCATGGTTCGCTGGATTAGGTGCGACTGAGTAATGAGTTCGTTCCTCACTGGGTACCCCCTAATTTCGGCTTTGTGCCACACTATATATTTGTATATATATATGTATGTGTATGTGTATGTGTGTATGTATGTGTGTATATATATATATGCGTGTGTGTATATATATATATATATATATATATATATATCTGTATGTCCTATTTTATTGTGTATGTGTATTTATATTTAAGTATATTTCTGTTTGCATGAATGTGTTTATATATTTGTATGTTAGACTATATGTATATTGCTGTGTGTTGGTGTTTGAAGGTATATTTATGTATCTATATGTTAGTTCGTTTATATATGTATTTGGTTGAAAGTTGTTGTATTTTTATGTATGCATGTATATATGGGTAGTTGTTATTGTAGATAGATATATTTATTTATATATATATGTTTATTTGTAGATATGTATGTATGTGTGTATATATATTTATGTATGTTTGTGTATGTATATATATATGTGTGTGTGTTGGCACCTATTATGTATGAGTTTGTTTGTGTGTATGTGTGGGTATGGAAACTTTGGTATATCATGACTGTTTTTTATATATCTAAGTATGTGTGCATAAAAGTCTATATGTATATATGTGTGTGTATTTAGGTTTATATGTATATGTGCGTACATGTGTACTTGTTATCATAGATATGTATATGTACGTATATGTTTATGTTTATATTTTATTTGTATGTATTTCTGTATGTATATGTATGTATGAGTATATATTTATGTGTGTTAATTTGTTTTTGCTGCTGTGTATATATATATATATGTATATATTTGTGGATTTCTTTATCCTGTTTTTTTTTTGCCAAATATATAATGAAACTATTATCAACTTATATGATTAATAATATATATATTTTTATTGATATTTATGGTTTTAGAATTTTCGTTTTAATATATTAAATAATATTATTTTAAACATTTTTATCTTTGTATATTTGCTCCCTTAAGTTATAATTCAATAAGTGGTTAGCATTTATTTAAGTCTGAAATATTTACTGGTTGTGATTTCTCAATGTCTATGCCATTGTCTGTGGATGTATGTATGTGTATATATCGGTGTCTATGTGTATGTAGAGTGTATTCACATTTAACTGTGTGTGTGTATAAGTGTTAGTTTCCACGTCTCCTTTTTTTTCATAAAGGGCTGTAGAGATGTTCATGTATTCCCCCCCTCCTCTTTTTTTTTTTTTTTTTTTGTGTGTTTTTGTGTGTGTGTGTGTGTGTGTGTGTGTGTGTGTGTGTATCTAATTATGTCTGGGTGCTTATGTATTATAATCTGATTGTGTTTTTGTTGTGTC